GTTAAGTACTTTGTAAAGGTTTCTCGATTACACCGTTGACTACATTCTTGATTACATCCGGGATCACGAAGTTGAGTACTCTAGAGGTCATGTCAGTAGTTGGCCAGCTGAGCTAGAATAAAACTTTACTGTGGAATCAAATGGTTGTCTTGTCCTCTACGTCCGTAAAAGCTTACTAGAAGAGGTCGCCTGTATCAGGGAATCGCGACGAGTTCCCGTTCTCGCTGTAGGCTGGTCGCTCTACAAGATAATTTGGATATATCAACAACGTTGAAATGGTAAATTGGCCACCGTAACGATTACAAAAGCTGACGTTTAGAGCGTTAGCCCATCGTCGGAGCGAATAGAGGAATTGTGGGTTGTGTGTGCTTTTAAAGGCAGAAAATGGAGCCACGTTAGCTCCTTTAGCTCTACAAGATAGTTGTCCCCCGTTATTGTTGTGCCTTCCGCGAAAATCCAGTTTGTACAGTCAAAAAATTATCGTCGCAATACACATTATTTTCAAGATTTTTTTACTACCTGCTTTTTACAATGTTCTTTTACAAACAGATGAGTTACACGAGACAAGGTGCCAGCATTTTTCTTCTAAATCTACTTATGTATTTTTAACTTTTATAAGAATGTTGTTGACTAAAGTTGCTCTCTATCAATCGCTGGTAATATTTTCACGCGCGTCGGTTGCGAATTTGAGAGAAAATATGTAAATAAAATGATCACAAATTTCAGTTGCCTTGTTCTTTTTTTTTCCCGAGCGAGCAAGTTGCGTTCGCGACAGTTGTCGCTGAAATGCTGGTGGTATTCAGTCTGCACTTATCCGTCTGCCATAGAAGTAGTCTCCCTCGCAGCCGTTTTTTTTGGTTGTCACGCAACGCTCCCCCAAAACGTTGCGTTGGGGGAGCGTTGCGTGACATCCAAGAAAAACGGCTGCGAGGGAGACTACCATAGGAGCGACTGAGATAAAAATTATTTAAAAAACCCCAAGCGACGGACCATGGGCTGGAATAATCCATTTCGTTCAAGTGTGACTCGCAAACAATAACTTCAAAACCATAACGTAGTGTTGTTAAGAATTACAGCCAAGAGAGGATGAACTGTTCACTCTCTTGTCACCGCTCAGAACATGGACTGACTTATGCTACATGAGATGTCCATTTTCGGTCCGTGAGGAGATAACTTTCAGTTCGCAGTCCACCATCGTGAACTCCGCAGTGGCTTGTTTATCAGCTTCTCAAAAATCCGAAGAACCATAAGGGCCCGATGGGAAAAGTAGTGTTGTTCCTATTTCAAAAAGAAATCTTTTTGTTTCATCCCCAGATGTTTTTGCAGTTGCACTGAAGAAGTATTCATATATCATTCCGTGAATTTTTTTTTTTCTTCTGTTCACGAGCGTAAGAAAAAAAAAAAGAAAATAATACAAGTCCCCATGCATGAGAAATGGGACCTCAAATATTCGAGCTCTACAGCGCTGGTACTGTGCCACAGAGCCACAAAGACTCTATAGTGAAGATGAGCTATTTCAATCTGTAAAATTGAGTCGCGCTGCCATTGCATGGAAACAATACGTACAGTTAAATTCAACTCTTCGGATCCTCGTGGAAGAAGCTATGGGAAGCAATCAACCAAAGAAGGCGCATAACCTTGATTTTGAATCGAACGACTTTTAACCAGAGAGGATCTTGCGATTGCGGCATTAAAGACCATTAAACATCATCCAGATAACTCTGAAAAAATATCTGAAAAAAAATATCTGAAAAAATATCACGAGTAGAGACTGGGAATAGCGACTTCTGAAGTAGCCGTGCAACCACGCAGTATTTGTTTGGGCTTAGTAGCCAGGTCTATATTTATTCATGACATTTGAGGTTGTTGGAGAACCTAATGTGTCCTTGACTAGACTCGAACAGTCTTGAATATTTCCGTCTTCCCGCGGTAAGTTTTATAAGCAACAAGCTGAACTCTCTTCGCTTAACATATTACAGAAATGGAACGTGAAATCGGAAATTTCTACTCTCAACGATCGAGGCAAATGTTTTCAATAATAGAATTGATTTTCCAGCGATTTTGGAGAGGCTAGCTCGCATCTTGCGTCAAGCTGTTGTTGAAAATTACGCTACATGCGATCTCTGTACGCATAAATCCTTAAAATCGTAAATAGCAGGTCTGAGGCACAGAGTGCTTACCGGTAATTTATGCTGATCCGAAATTCTGCAGTCAAATTTGACTCTTACACTTTCAGTTTCCTCACCCCAATGAATGAAATCGCGTCGCGTAGATTTGATGTCTGGAAATATGGCGCGCTCGGTTTAAAAACCATGAGAAATATATGTTATTGGTCACAATCACTGTAGCGGGAAATCAAATTGAGTTCGTGATTGTTACCAGGAATACTCATTATTGCCGCACATTGTCAAATTTAGTGGTAACTTGAAGCAATTTCAAGAACACAAAAATTTTGGTTTGTTGTTCCAGAGTGTGTGCTTAACGTAATTAGGTGCTGATTGTAGTGGGCTGAGGTATTTCAATAGTTTCTTTGTACTAACAAAGAAGTGTCTCAGTAATTTGCTTTTTTTTTTTACGACTAAAACAATTTTTCATTCATAGCCAAATAAATTGCCGGCTTTAATGTGCATGTGGTGGTAATTAAATTCTGTCTTTCTACAGCTTATGAACATAATTATTACATTCTATAGGCTATTATCAGTGCTCATTTGAATGCATTTTGGAAAACAAAGTCTAATTTAATGCATAGATTAACCTATTCATAGCACATCAGGTATTTTGGCGTGAATGCGATTGGTTTAAAATCATAATTTGACAGAATATTCCGTGCTACAGTACCACAAGGCATTATTTAGTAAATAAACCCCTTCGGGAGGCTGGTATGTTGGCTGATAATGTCTACAGCTGAGAGATTGTCTGAAAAATGAATATTTGGCCGAGAAGCGAAGCTTCAAGAGCAAATATGAAATTTTGAGGACAATCTCTCAGCCAAGGACATTATCAGCCAAGATACGAGCAAGCCAGAACGGAATTTATTTATATTATAACCCTCCCATTAATTTTCACATCGCAATTAAACTGTGCATAAACACAGTAAAAAAGTCAGTGGTGATTTGATTGCGAATGTGTGTGATTGATGTAAGCAAGCAAAAAAAAGAAAAAAATGAGTTTGGTTTCCTTCCATGTAAATAGGAGAATGGGAAAGTTGAAACTCTTGTGTTGACTATGTTTCTTTTTCACGGAAAAAATCGGAGGACAAATATCAATGCGGATGGGGGTTATTGTGTAATAACTGTCCTGTGATTTTGCACCACGTGACATAAAGTAACCAATAAAATTGCCAAAATTAATGGGTGGGTTATAACTGGTGATAATTATTTGTTAAGTGGTATTCCCCAATTTACAATCCTGGCATGTAAAGCAATGAATGTTGCCAGTCTTCTTTTCAAATTTGGTTTCAAATTTATTGATGATGCAGATAAATAGATGAACTTGTTTGTTTCTAATTATGGTTGCTCAGAAAGTCAACATCACTTTTTCAGGGTAAGCTATTTTTCAAATATTTTGAACTGTATGCTCCAAAAAAGGGTATTTGACAGAATATAAACACAATAGCCCCTCTTTGGCATGAAAAATATGCTACATGTACATATAACTTATTTGTCCCTAGACATTATCTGTTCTTTAAGGCTCACACTGTCTTTTCCTTTTAGCTTCACTCCAAGAAAATGTTTGAATTTTGGAGCAGTTAATGGCATTGGACAAATATCCTAGCCTGTTTTGACACCAAATTATGACTGTTTTAATCTATGATTCATTATTAGAGTATTCAAAACTACTGATGGACTAAATGCCAGGGATAATTCACTGATTCTTTTCTTTGTTAATTGATCCAGTTAATTACATGTATGACTGGCAGGAGTCGTGGCATTGTAGAGAAGAAGATTTAGGATGAAGTAAAAATGGACAGAGATCTTGCGACTCGCAAACGAAAGAAAAGTATTGAGGATGTTGCCAGGAATGCAAAGAAACCATTGAAAAATGGATCAGGTGTGTGAAAGAGTTAGTTTTCTTTGTTTCAGCCTAGGGTTAGCTCAGATTTTAGAACACCGCACTGTTATGCAAGAGATTGAGGGTTCAAGCTAGACCTAGACCAGACTAACACTCAGGATCTTATAATAACTGAGAAGAATGTGCTGTGTTTGTTATGACATCTGTGAATTGTTTCCTGACTTGTGAAAATTTTAGAGTGTAATTGTGCACAACTTGATTATTTATTGTGAATTTTGTGGGGATCTATTTCCCCTTTTAACTGCTGGGGGTGACCAGTATCTATTTTTTTTCCCTTCAGTTTCACTGATGAATCAATTAAATATTATTAAGGTGAAAGAATGAAGGAAATGATTACCATTCAAAGAAGCTCTTGTTAAACAAATTCTCCTTTCCAGCAGTACAGGAAATGTATAGGGAACAGGGTGGAGAATATAGGTACTGATCAGGGCTTGACACTAACTTTTCAACTTGCTAGCCAAGTGGCTAGCAACATCTTAGATGTTATGACAATTTTAGTTTGTTTACCAGCCAAACTGGCTAGTGGAAATCCAAAAGCACAAGCCAAAACTGAATTTCTACTAGTCTGTGGCTAGTTGGCTACCATTAGTGTTGAGTCGTACTGATGTTGGAGTTTAAAGGGTTAGGATCATACTGTCATAGCAGTGATATGCTTGTACGTCATTTGTTATTACAGGGTCAGATGAAGAAGATGAAGAGCTCTTTTCTTGGGAAGAATATTTAAAAAAGTGTCATGCGAAGGCTGTTCCTAAAGAAACATTTAAACATGTAAGTACCTGTACACGTAATTATGTGTGCTTTCTTGTTTTCATCACATATACTAGACACATGCCACAAAAGATAAAATAGATAAGCCTGATATTCACCCAAAGAAGGAATGTGATAGGTCATTTGTACATGTATGTACATGAGTGTGCTTCCTCCAGGGTTGAAAGTCCTCTTTGTCTCTGCTGTTATGGGGGTTTTCATGGAGTAATATATCAGTAAGGGAACAGTATACAGTACAGGCTGCTGAAATGGCAGCACTACATGCGTGTTTCATGAGTGTAAATCCGCCATATTGGACACAATTTACACGCAAATTATGTGTGCATAATGCGAGACTTAAAGATTCAAACACCTGAAAATGCATATAAAAACATTATAAATTGCAAAATTCTTCATAGAGTGTGTAAAATTTTACAGGCAAAGTTTTGTGTAAAAGAAGGTGAGTATTTACTATTGTACATTTAAAGAAGAACACTCTTAAAGTCTGAATAAAAAATTGCTCACCTCATGGCAATGAAGAGAACGCTCATATCTCTGATGCTTAATGATCACCTGAGCTGCTTGTGGATAAACACAGTGGAATTTAACTTCTTTCTCAACATGTGTTTACATTTATTTTGAACCAGGTACAAGACACAAAAGTCCAAGGGTTTGTTCCTGGTATGAAGTTGGAATCCATGGATCGTACGTCACTAGAGGCTGATACCTACTGGGTAGCAACAGTCGTCACGGTGTCTGGACCACTGCTACTGTTGCGTTATGATGGCTATGATGACGATCGCAGTGGGGACTTCTGGTGTGATGCGGCATCTGATGATCTTCAACCTGTTGGGTGGTGTGCTGGGAATAATCGTATACTCATTCCACCAGCAGGTATGTGAAATAACATGTTGGAAATGTCTACAGTATGCAGTGCTGGGTGATTTCTGCATTCAAGTCTGACTCATGTGGGCATAAGGGTTCCTGTAATTCTTGTAGAATTAGATAACAACTTTTCCAAGCGAGAATTTCCGTAGGTTATTGATCACAGTGAACTCATTTGGAATAAGATTTAACCAAAAAAAAAAAGAAGAAAAAAAAAGAAAAGTTGTGTGCAGTTGCTATAGTTTGAATAAAAGTATGAGAATTTCAATGTGGATTGTAATCTTTCCTACCCTAAGGAATCATGAACCCTTTCACTCTCAAGAGTGATCAAGACAGAATTTCCCCTTACAATATCAATACAATATCAAGCAGACAAGTGAGGAGAATACAGAAACATAATTAATAATTAGAGGATTATTGAATGTAATTGATTCAATACCACATTCTCCTAACTAACATCTTGAGAATTGTATAGCAGACAGTAAGGAGAATTTCTAGTGACATCTTGGGTAAATAGATGAGAAGCATTTCGTCATGAGTGGAAGAAAGCACAAAAGAAAAAAAAAAAGGGAAAAACTTTCTCCCTACATGTACAGCTGTAGCATTTAAATGCTGGTAAGGTTGTAAATAATCATTCTTCGGTCTCAGTGGTCACAACTTGGGATGTAGAAACTTGAACTTCTGTACCTAAGAATATAAAAAAGTTATTATTATAATATTGATTTCAAAAGGGCATTGTTAATGTATCAATTCTTTTCTATAGCCATCAGGCACAAGGAGCCAAACTGGGCGAAGTTTCTAAAGCAAGATCTGGAAGGGGCTGTCCGTGCACCAGCTCATTTGTTCCACAGGGTAAGTAACCAACTAACTTGCTAGGTGTCTAGGACAGCATTGTGTACCGTATTTTTCACTATGGGATTGAACATGCCGCAAAAATTGTTTTTATTTTCAGTCATGTTGTTGAAATCTCAGCATATGCACTGTGCTCTCCATTGTTGGGGGGTGGTACTTGTGTGTAACTCATGTTTTTAATTTTTTGTTGTTAAAATTGAATTTTGGGCAATATTATAGAGAAATAGTGAGCCAGTCTATATTTGGGAAGTGAAATGGAGTGGAAAATACAATTCAAATTTGCTTCAAACCATTTTGACATTAAATTTATCATTTGTAAATTGTACCTGCCAACTCTTCAACTCCTATGAGTGGTCAAGAGAGAATTTCTCCTTACAATATCAATACAATGTCAAGCAGACAAGTGATGAGAATATGAAAAATATCATTAGGAGATTATTATATCACAGGGAACTTTTTGCAATTCCCAGATAGGGAAAAAGATGGTGAATTTATAGGTTTGATTGGTATTTGATTGGTATTTGATTGGTATTTCCCAAACTGGGAAAATGCTACCAAAACCAATCTTGGGTTTAAAAAACCCATTATATCCCCAAAGATGGGATAAACTTGACCCAATTTAAACCCAGTAATGGGATTAAATTGACCCATTTTAAATCCAGTAATGGGATTATATCAACCCATTTTTAACCCAGTAATGGGATAAATTTGACCCAGCTTTAACCCAACAATGGGATTAAATTGACCCAGTTTTAACCCAGTAATGGGATAAAATTGTTAAACCCAGCAATGGGAAATGTTCCCATGTTATTCACAACACTGAGAATTACTTGGGGAAATGTTCCCATGTTATTTACAAATTTGGGGATTACATGGGGAAATGTTCCCATGTTATTCACAAATTTGGGAATTACTAGGGGATATGTTCCCATATTATTCACAACTTTAGGCATTACATGGGGATATGGTCCCATGTTATTCACAAATTTGGGAATGACTTGGGGAAATGTTCCCATGTTATTCACAACTTTGGGGATTACTTGGGGAAATGTTCCCATGTTGTTCACAAATTTGGGAATTACTTGGGGAGAAATTCCCAAATTATTGACAAGCTTGAGAATAAATTGTGGTAACAGTCAACATTTTCCCAAGTTTGGAATACCAAAAACAGTAAAACTTGTTCCCCAAGAAAAACCGACTTACTGGATCCTAAGGGTTGACAACTTCCCAAAAGTATCCCAAGAAAGGAATTTCACATCCCAAATAATTCCCAACAATGGGAAAATTTCCAATTTAATTCCCAAATGAGAATCTTAAAAAGTTCCCTGTGTTAGTTGATTAAATACCAAATTCTCCAAACCTATATCATTGAATTGTGTGGCAGACAGTCAGCGTGATAAGTAATTTGATCTCAGGAATGGAAAGGTCAATACAACAATTACAGATGTGCCTGGATGTCTTTTTAGAGAACAAATCCTGATGATGAAAATCAGCTGAAGCCAGGATTGAAGTTAGAAGTGCTGTACAAGAATGATCCACTGAGTTACTGGGTGGCTTCGGTGGTAGATTCCTATGGCTTGAGGCTCAGGTTACGATTAGAAGGGTCGGAAGATGAAGCGGATGATGTTTGGGTTTACTTCCTGTCTGATACTGTTCACCAACTTGGTTGGGGAAAGAAAAACAAGTTCAGGCTCAACATTCCTCCAGGTAAATACTGTACATGGACAGTTACAGTTAGGTTGCCAACTTTCTGCCTGTTTTTAAACCAGCGCTGAAGAGTGTGTGGTCAAGATATAATAATATTTATTTTGCAAGATATTATGCCTTATTGATCAAGAGTGAGGTCAAGATGGTTGGATATTGGCTGAATTCTTTTTTCCAATTTTTATTGACTGAGAGGAAGTCAAGGTCCATAAATATGCAAAAAAGAAAGAAGCTAATATCTGGCCAACCTGACCGAACAAGCTTGGTAAATAAAGGATTTACTGTGTTGCAAAAGTAATGTGCTCAATTAAGAATTAAGAATGATTTGTTTACTTTGAGAGCCTGAAAAGAAACCTGCTGTGTTTGAAGCACAAGAAACCCCAGAGAGTTGTTTAATTTTTCTTTGTTTTGATTGTCTCCTGTCCCTTTTTGTGACTTTGTCGTGACATTGTTCAAAGGCTATGAACTTTGTAAGTCCACTCCACTCCTTTTTTTTCCAGCACACGATCAAAGCAGGCAAGATGGGCCCATCTTGGGACTGCCCACTTTGATCCCAGGATTTGCCACATATTGCCCATAGGCACTGCCAGTGATGTAATAAGCCATAGTATTGCTCACATGCATTGTACGTTGTGTGTCAGATGAGTTTAATTCCCATGCATTACTTGTGAGCATCTTGTACATACTGTATAAATTGGCAAGGAACTACTCTTTCATGGAAGTATGTTTAGCTTACGTGTAAAATATTCTCAATTGAGTATAAAATGTGTATAAATTACATGCAATCAATCAGCCTGAACTTATCAAATGCATGCACATTTAACAATGCAAAAATGCATGTACATGTAGCAAGACTAAAAGAGAGTATTCTGCATTTGCCATATTTCAGGCTTTTACATATACCAAAGTTATATTGCTTCTCTCTTATTTAAAAGCAGAATACTTATTACCCCATTCTGCTGTTTTTTTTTTTTATACTAGGGGTTTTGGTGACATACTCTGTACATTTGGGTTTGTTTTATGGGGTTTCAATTTAATTTCAATGTTGTTAGGATTAAATCAAGTTTTTGTTAATGATTTGATTCATTGATTGATTATTTTTTTATTGCATTTTAGATCTAAGGGCAAAATATCCATCAAAAGACTGGGCACAAATCAGAGGAAGGCTGCTTGGTATTTGCAATATGACTTCTAATGATGTGTCACTCAACGAGGCGCTAAACAAGGTATACTTTGTTAATAGTCTTGTTCATATCAGAGAAATTGTTGATGAAGTTTTGGAAGTACTCTGCTTTACTGGGTTCTGTAACTGGTGTGTCAATCTCTCAACCAAACAGATGCAAAATCAGATAAAAAAAAAACTGCTTTTCTTGCCCGTCAACCAGACTGCTTGTTCTTACCATAGGATATCATCAGCCCCTGTTGATAATTCCTTTGTTCTAATTTGCAGTTTTTATCACATATGCTTTGTTTGGTTTTGGGTTCACAATAAATGATCACAGAAGGCGTTACTACATGTAAAGTAGCTACATTTAACTTAATGAGCTAAACTATCTGAGTGTTGCAGTATCTTCACAGTATTTGAAAATTTTACAACCTTGATGGTGTCAAAATGTGTTAAGAACAAAAAAGTGTCACATAAAGTGCAGCCAAGTGTGTCACTGACACTTAAACAATATTTTGATGTCTTTGGTGCTCTGTTACTGTGTAAACCCACAGCAGCATGGGATCTGTTTGTTTTATAGCATGAAGAAGAAAGATTTTGGTGATGGGGATGTTTTCTGTGTCTGTCCTCCAAAAAATCATTAGTAAGAAACAATGAACATGTTAATATTAATTAATAATAATTCAGCTTAATATTTAATAGTTCTCAATAATTAATATCAATAAATGATATTAATAATTCAGCTTTTTGAATAACAACTAAATATGAAAGTATTGAAATTGTGATATTAGTGTATGTTTGGTGCGATGTTTGAGAATCATTCCTTTTTCTTCAGTCTGACAGCTTGCCAAGGCCTCATGGGTTTACATCGGGTTTGAAACTAGAAGCTGTGAATCCCAGTGACCCCTCCTCCATCTGTGCTGCTACAGTGACCAAAATTCCAAGCGAGTTCTTCTTCCAGGTGGAGATTGACAGCATGATCACTTGCAGTGACAGCACGCGACCTTCCATGTGGTGCACGTCTAAATCTAGGAATATTTTCCCGGTAGGGTGGTGTGCACAGAACAACATTCAACTTACCCCACCCCCAGGTATGAAATTTTTCAACACCACACATTTGATATCACTGTTCATTTGGTTTCTTTCTTTTAACCCTTTACACCTAACATCAGAATGCATATTCTCCATACTGTTCTCTATACATTCCCTAGGGTGCTGACAAGGAGAATTTGTTTAACAATCAAGAGCTTCTTTAGTTGATGATCATTTCCTTTATTCTCCTGACTTTAATGTGTGATTCAGGGGTGATACTGTTAGGAGAAACTAGATGTTAATCAATATTAGGCATCAAAGGGTCAAATTGGTATTGAATTGTTCACTGAATGTAAAGAGGAAGTTGTTTGGAAACACGAGCTCCAGAGAAAGAAAAGAATGAGTTTTTTCTGATCAGGATTCAAAGTTATGGTTCATCTCATCTGAATGCTCTATCAACTAAGCCCCTGAAAGTGTGTTGCAATTTTGGCAAAATTTAATTTAATTTAATTTAATTTAACAATAAGTTCTTATATAGCGCTTTAAAATTGAACTCTATGCGCTTTACAATTACAATTAACAAAATTTCAATAAAAATCCTATACCTGCAATTATCGCTACTCTATCTAAACTAACGAATTATTACGTGTTATACATATATTTGACAACGTACGATATCAAAAAATCTGGTGGCTTAATTTTTGAAAAGATAAGTTTTCAATAACCGTTTAAAGGAGTCAACAGATTCGGTGTTTTTTATGCATTCAGGGTCTAGGGTCTGGAATTGTTCATTCAGCATTGCTTAGCGTGGAGGAGGGGCACAAAAATTATTAAGTACATGTACAGCAAAGTGTTTCAAACCGTTGTGATTAAGGTTGTTAGTTTGTGTCTGATACATCCTGTATATTGCATGAACATGTACATGTACTTGTACATGTATATGTATTTTTCTTGTAGCTTACAAATAAATTTTTTTCCCTTCCTACTCATCCCTACATGTGTATTTTTTTCATGGGAGGAGTGGGGATGGCATACATGTAGTGGTGTGTGTCCATGCCTTCCACCACTGTGGCGCAGGCTCCATTCCTGGACCTGTCGCCATGTATGTGGGTGAAAGTTTGTCGCTGGTCGTTGTCCCTGCTCCGACCGTTCTTCTCTGGGTCCTTTGGTTTTCCTCCCTCCACAAAAACGAACATCCAAATTCCAATTCGACCTAGAAACAGTAGAAAAGAAGAGCCACCATGTGGGATCTCCTCCAGTAAATTTCCTTTCCCTCTCTCTTAGTTTTTAGTCTGTGTGTTAACTGTTTGTAGCATTGCTGCCCAAGTTTTTTTTTTTTTGTAACAACTGTGCAGTTATCAAAGTTTTATTTGTTCTGATGTTTATTGGTAGGATACCTGGTTCATCCCTTCAACTGGCAGACATACCTTGAACATACAAACTCAACAGCAGCTGCAGAATCATTGTTTACTTTGGTAATGCCATTAACTTATTTGCAAATGGAGAAATTATTAATCCAGCCGCTGTTTCAAGCTTTGACACAATATTGCTTTTTCGTACACGTTTGATTTTGACGAAAGAGAACCTTTATCATGTGAGAGAGAATTAGAGATCTACAACCAGAAATGATATTTGAAAACGGAATTGTTGTTGACATGAGCGGAGCTTGATTGAATGAAAAAGAACGAGATGGTCAAGTTTTCTTCAGTGAATGTGGCTAATGTAATGTGGGCTGCATGAAAGTTGTATCTCACACGGGGCGCTCGTATGCAGGGGCTGCCGTGGTTTCATACATGTAGCTCCCTAGTGAATGTAAGAACTTTCTTTGTTGATGCTTTCTGTCACGTGTACATGAACATCTTCCTCCCTTCCCTCCCCTCCCTCTCCCAGCCTTTTGGTAAGGAACAAGTAAGTATGTGTAGTCTTCCACTGGTCAGCAAATTGACAATGCCTGGGTGAATGCAACCCATAATAATTTTTATGGTCACGCTCAGCGCCTGGATGTTGTTCATGACTCCACCAATATTTCAGTACCTCCCACACACATATCTATCGTCAATGAGTGTCATTTAAAGGAATTTAAGCTTTTAATGCTCACTGACTAGACGGAGAATCTAACCTGAGTCATGCATCAATTTCAGGAAGTTCCATCTCATGCGTTTGACATCGGAATGAAGCTTGAAGCGGTGGACCAAACAGATCCTAGTACCATAACAGTAGCTTCGGTCTCACAAGTGGTCGGACGCACCATGTGGGTGTTACTGGAGGGATACAAAAACGATTCTGTGGAACATATTTACGATGTGGAGTCATTGGATCTCTTCCCAGTTGGATGGTGTAGTATGAACGGGCATCCGCTTGTAACGCCGCGTGTACAGCGTAAGAAATATTGGCTGATAAACTGTGTGTTGAAAATTTGCCCATGGTCGTTAACCCGTCGTCAACTGAGACCCCATCAATAATTCTCCTTACTTTCTCTCATATAATTTTTATGGTGTTGCTTTGGTGAATTTGGTTTTGGAGGAACTAAAAATCTCCTAAGTGATTCTTTTCTTCATTCTCGACACTTGTCGGCTTGACATTGTATTCATTTTGATAACTATTTTTGGAAAAAAATTCTGTCTTGGTTACTCGTAGGAGCTAAAGGTTTAAGGCCAAAACGGAAAAGGTGAATGAAAAAAAGATTGGAGCAGTTTGGATGCAAATGATAAGCTTGACAAAATAAATTGAGTTAAAAAAAAAAAAAAAAATTAAGGCAATCCCTCTTTTCTTATACGCGAAATCTATTTGTTTAGTCTCGCAATTCCTAAATCTTAATGAAAGTTCTCTTTGTCTGCCATTTGCGTGTTACTTTTTTGAATTTGTTTCTTTATTACCAATATCTTGTTTTCAATGTTTTTGTAATTGTCAACTGTCTTCTGTACATTATGATTTAAAGCTCTAAATTAGCGATATGATTAGCCGAAGCAAGCGTAGGCACATACTTTTTGTTTAAAAGTGCTTTTTGAGGAAGACTGTCTGTTTCCTTCTTGTTAAGGTTTATTACCATCCTAAAGCCCCTGAACGATAACTGAGCGATCCTCCTGAGGATATCATAAGGGTGCATGTATATTTGACTGTGTTTTTTTTTTTGTCATATTTTCACAGGTCCTCCTGAAGAAAACAGACGTCTTGCTTCTCTAAGGTATGCTAGAAATCCGTTATTGTGTATTTAAGTAAGCTGATTTCGAGTTGGTGTAAAACAAAATAAATTTATCAGGGATCTATTAATATTGTGATGATCTTGGCTTGCGAAGGCAGTGTTTTTTTTTTTTACTCTCACTGGTTTATGAGATCGTTTGACCAGGGTTCGTACAGGTCATGGAAAACCTGGAAAGTCATGGAATTTCAAAATTTCATATTCTAGGCCTGGAAAGTCATGCAATTTAGGCGTGGGTCATGGAAAGTCATGGAAAGTCATGGAAAGTCATGGAAAGTCATGGAATTTTAACAGGTCAAAAGTGTACGAACCCTGTTTGAACACCACATCTAAGGGGCCGACCATTTAACTTTTGAGGGGAGGGGTGGGTGATTTTGAAAAAAAAAATTTCCCGCAAGCGCTTGTTAGAAGAAAAAAATTGCATGCAGCCCAAATGTAATTGAAAGGATGTACCAAAAAGTCGGAAAAAAATATCCTGCATAGCAGATTGCTAGAAAAAAAATTTCTTGATGAACAGAAATCACCCACTCCCCCCCCTCAAAAGTTAAATGGTCGGCCCCTAAATATAAATTCTTCTCACTGTCTGCCATGCATTTCTCACTGGTTTTGTTCTGAGAATGTGCTGTTAGATCAAGCAACATCCTTAAGTTGATAGTTTTCTTTCTTCTCCTTACCTTTCTGGGCGATAATGTATTGTTATTGTAAAGAGAAATTACTTATTGATCGTATCTGTGAGTGGACGGGTTAATCCTTGATCTCTTGCAGGACAAGACAAAGAGAAAGTAACAAAAAAGCGACGGATACAAGCACAGCCAACATCACCAATATCTCAACAACCAGAACTTATGAAACTAGTACTGCAAATTCTCCAACTACACCTGTGAATTCTGTAAACGTTGCACCTGTCACAGATGTAAACAACGGGACAAACGTGACCCAGCGTGACACAAATCACTTGCAGAACGCCAACGTGACATCCATAGACACTGAACAAGATGTCAAAATGGCGTCCAATTCTCACGCGGTCAAAACAGAATCTAGTTCTCTCGAAGAAGTGAACACAGAGATGCAGGAGAAAAAGTCACCTGCGTCTTCCAAGGGTAAATATGATTTGCGGCCCTCGACACTCGTCCCGCGGGATTACGGTGAAGGGGACGAGGAGGAGAGTGCTGAAAAGAAAAAAGTTGAAGCTGTGATTGATCTGACGGAAGACGACGAGGTCGAGGTGGACGCAGAGGAGAGTAAACCTGTTGTAACCAAACCAGGTGTACCTTCGAAGGATGATTCAGGTATGCGTATACGACGCTTTGACGTACTTAAAGTCAAAGGTCGAGCCGCACTGTATGACTTCTTCATTCTTTTACCCAGTCTCCTGCGTTTCCGCTGTTCAGTCACGGCACACAACACCTCCTGTCTTCCCTGCTTGACGAGACCAAATAACGGCTGCAAAGGGCAG